TGTGCATAAGGATGCATGTGGAAGATGTCAGCATTTGTGAATCTACAATTACTGTTGGATGACTAACTCTTTTACTGTTACTCTTACCACTTAGTAGCTGATTCTGAATACAAAACCAGCTTGAGTTTGTGGTATTACTTTATTGTTGAAAGAACAAACATGGCCTACAGCCCACAATCCAATTACCGATACTCCTGTGTAGCTCTAACAAAATGAAGAACTGTTATGGATGGAGTGAATTGGGTGCGGATGCCATAGTTAGACATGGCTTTGTCTGAATAGCTGTTATTCTGTAAAACAGAACATATCAATATGTCTCCATAGCTAAACTAGCTGCATAGTTTTAGAACTATATATATTTTACCTTTGGAACAGATTACTTCTGCTTTAAAAAAAAAATTTTGTTCTGCTTGTGGTGGTTTTAGGCAGGAAATTGAACTGATTGATAGTTAATGTTTCTAATATTTTAATCAATTTTTAAATATTGGTTTAACAGGATATTATTTGAACTGGGTGCGAACAGCCCAAATGACTTTGTTGACTGAGTGGTCAACAAATGTTATAAATAAATAAATAAATAACAAATGAGAAAGAATGTTTTTGATTTAGATCAATACCATTTCAAAAACAAGATACAAAATTAAATGATCAGATAGAAACATGGTCTAATTCCTAGTCAAGTAGAATCAAAAGCGTTTTGAGGCAGCCTGAAAAAAACATACTCCCACTTCTCAAGCTGATTCCACTTTGAATTAATGAATGCTTGCAAACCTAGATTAATTGACCCTATTAAAGAGCCATGTGGTTCAGATGCTAAAACCTTTGGAAAGATTTCATAAAAGTCCTGTGAAATTTTATACCAAAGGAATGAAGTTGAAATATCCCTCTATTTGTTCTCATAGTAAAATATTAACATCTATTGAACATTTGTCCATTTGAAGTAGTACACATAGACCATTTCAGAGAACAGACAAGAATCAACATGAAAATATCTTTTCTTCATTTTCCTCTTCCCTCCCTGTCCATTTCCCCATGTATGTTGAGTGTTTTTAGCTGGTACGTCTGTGGGTAGGGGCTTGTTTTAATAGAGTGCATGTAAGCTGCTCTGGGGGCCTTTTTAGATGATCAGCAGGGATACAGATGATGATGATGATAAATTTTCTTGATGATGATAAATTTTCTTGATGATGATGATGATGATAATATTAGTCTATTCTAATCTGCATCACCTTCATCAATTTAACACTTCCCATTGCAGTTTATTATCAAGTCAATAACTTGTGTGTAACCAAAAATATGAAGCACAAATGGTTGCATATAGAACCATAGAACTGTGCAGTTCAAATGGACCCTTAGGGTCATCTAGTCCAGCGGTTCTCAACCTGTGGGCCCCCAGAGGTTGTTGGACTACAATTCCCATCATCCCTAGCTAGGGGTGATGGGAGTTGTAGTTCAACAACCTCTGGGGACCCACAGGTTGAGAAAGGCTGATCTAGTCCAAACCCCCTGCAATGCAGGAATCTCAGCTAAAACATTCATGGCAGAGAACTATCCAGCTTCTGCTGAAAAGTTGACTCATGGGAGTCTGTTCTACTCTCAAACAGTTCTTACTTCCAAAAAGTTCTTCCTGATGTTTAGTTGAAATCTCCTTTCTTGCAACTTGAAATCATTAGTTTGGGTCCTAGCCTCTAAAGCAGTAGAAAACAAACCTATTCCATCTTCCATGGGACAGCCCTTTACATACTGGAAGATGGCTATCATCTCCCAGTCTCCTCCTTACCTAGCTAAACGTCTCTAGACCCCTCAACTGTTCCTCATAAGGCTTGAATTCCAGACCCTTTTATCATCTTGGTCACCCTCCTCTGCACACATTCCAACTTGACCTTTGTTACTCTGATTGTTCAGACACTCTTCTATTCTACCTGCTTTCACACCACTCAACTTTCAATAAACTTACTTTCTCTTTACACCATTGCCCAATTAATCTTGGGTCTTGCTGATTCTTCAAAAATCAAAAGGTTACTACCAAAATACCAGTGTTTACTGTAGATTAAAGTAACGCATGAGCCTGCCTTTTAACATTGTTCAGAAATGTCAGATTATGGCAGGCAGATCAGTTTAAAATTGTCACTCTGTTTCCATTATTAAAAGATACTGCCTGGCTTCTTGTATATTTCTGGACATTATTCAGAGTGCTGGCAACTTCTCGCCTCTGATATATATGATCTTCAGGGGATCTACTTTGGGAGCTTCCATTTCAAAATATAAGTAGGTGAAATGTATTGGGAAGACCTGCTCTTTAGTGGTGTTTATGGAACATACTTGCATGCTGTAACATTAAAACTGTTTAATTTGTCTACAGTTTTAATAGCTGAGCTGGGAGGGGACTAATGCTTCCATTATTGTTTTCAAGTGTCTATGTTTCTCTTTAATGTCATTGTTGAAGAATACTATGAAGTTTTTCATTTGGTTATGATTGTAAGCCACCTTGGAGTCTAGACAGCATGCCAATATTTCAAATAAAATAAAATACTAATAAAAGCTGTCACTTACCACTTGAAATAATTATAAGGGGAAGTCTCTGCCAAGGTTGCTTAAAATGTTTGTACAATGAGCCTAATAATCTGATCACCACACATTATTGTGTTACACCACAAGCAGGGTTACAAGAGCACTTTAAGACTATGGCTTAATTTGCTCCCACAATTGGCTGTGGCAGTTCAAAGCTTCTTATATTAATCTGGACATCTGTTCTGCTGTGGCTATTTTTCTATCTCATATTTTACTTCTTTATGCATTGCTTTTACAGGATGCAGCTCTAAAGAGTGGCTTCAAAATACTTTAAATAAATAATCTTGGTTCTCTGGTGCCCTTTTGCAGACCAAAGGACATCATCCAATAAAGGTATGAGCAGGCTTGAGGGAACCCCAAGGCTGTCCGAAAAACAAAACCATTAGGGCGAAAAGTATTTATTTTGGTGGGGAATACCTCAAAAGAGCCCAGTGAGGATTGGGTAGGGATGGGTGCACGTGCCAATTTCGCTTTCTCGTTTTTCCAGTCTTTCAGTTTTCCACACTGCCATAACAGTTTGCATTTCTTTTTTATCCACATACTACTGCAATTTTCTCCTAATGTACCCATTTTTGTACTTAATTTTGCCTAATAACTACATTTTTGCAAAGCATCTTTGCATGTTATTTAAAAAATATAATGGATGTTCGTATGTTATTTTCACCAACATGCTCTTTCTTTCTTTCTTTCTTTCTTTCTTTCTTTTGCACCCTTTACCCCAGTGTATGCATTTTTGGGCAAATTACTTGGCTAGATAAATGTACAGCAAAATTCAAATAATTGTTACTTTCAAAAGATGACAGTGTTTTTGTTTGAATATTGTTTGGGGATGAATGAATTCGGTAAGTTTGCCTTCAATTCATATTGTACTGAATTTCTCCCACATCCCTAGAACTGTTTAGTGGGCATCAAATGCTGCCCTATAGTTGAGGGGAGAAAACGTAAAACAAGAAGAGGGAGTTTTGAGTGAAGTAGCTGGGATCCTGAATAGGGAGCTCTCTGCACCGTAACATTATTTTGCAAGTCACACTTGTCAGACATCAAATTTATGCCTCAGGAGAATAATTATTATACAGCTGGCATCTTTGTCCAAAACCCAGTTGAACTAGCATGCATTGATGAAATCTGATTGGACGGAGAAGGAATGAGTCTCTGTTTCTTAAATCTATTATCCAGGTTTCATAGCACCAGTCAAGACTTGAGGAGTGAGGAGAGGGTGGCAGCTGTCATTTCTATGGATTTAATGCCCTCACCCATCATGCTTAAGTATCCTATATAACAGACGGCCACATTTTCTTGGTCTAGGAATGTAATTTCTTGTTTTTATACACTCATTCCCAAAACACTATGGCTTTTCTTCACAATACTTGGGATTAAGCTTACTTTACAGATGTGAGGTTTCATTTCATTAAACATTTTCCCAGCACTCTGCAGCCTCCACAGCTGCCTAGACTTCCTGGGCTTCCTGATTGAAGTCTGGAAAACCTGGACAGTTTGCCACTCCTTGCATACCTGGGATTGTGTGCTTGCCAATTTGCATTTGCCTTTCCTATTGCTTAAAAACAAACTAAGAAACAAACTGATTTATTTTAAAATGAAAAGTCTTCACTTGAAAAACAACAACAGCTGACTGCTGCACAGTAAGCAGTCACTCTGTCTTCTTGTGCTTACAGAAAAGCCCAGCTGAGAATGTCGTGAGGAGTTCAGTAAAGGTAATCACCCAGGAAGGCTGTACACTGTAGACCACAAGAAAGATGATTGGTAGAATGAAAGAAACGACACTTGCAAACACTCCTTAGCCACCTTAAAAGTAAGGTAAGCACAAAACCTTTTACCTACAAGAATTTCAAAGAATTGTTTAATGTGCTTTTGAATGCAGCATCTTCTTTCATCAACTGGTGGCAAATGTTTTTAAAAATGGGTTGAAGCAACTTTTTGGCACAGCACTTGTAAAGAAGAAGCATTTTACTACACCTAGTGTTGCCAAAGCATACAGTTGGAGACGAAGAATATAAAACCCTTGCTTTTGGAATATTTAGGAATAAGTGGCATTTTTTAAAACAGAACAATTTCAAACTGCAAAATGCATACTTATTAAGAACTGTGACTTTCCTGCATGAAGAGACATTGAGAGCCAAGTAATAACTGACATAGGGGATGCAGGAGACGCTGTGGTCTAAACCACTGAGCCTAGGGCTTGCTGATCGGAAGGTCAGCAGTTCAAATCCCTGCGATGGGGTGAGCTCCTGTTGTTCAGTCCCAGCTCCTGCCAACCTAGCAGTTCAAAAGCACACCAAAAAGTGCAAGTAGATAAATAGGTACCGCTCTGGCAGGAAGGTAAACGGCGTTTCCGTGTGCTGCTCTGGTTCACCAGAAGCGGCTTAGTCATGCTGGCCACATGACCAAGAAGCTGCGGACAAACACCGGCTCCCTCGGCCTATAGAGAGAGATGACCGCACAACCCCAGAGTTGTTTGCGACTGGACCTAATGGTCTGGGGGTACCTTTACCTTTACCTAATACCTGACATGACATATTACAAACTATGTGCCTTTTAACTCTGCTCAAGGGAATTGTGACTAAAATTCTCTCACTTGGGTGGCCAGGCAGTACCAAACAGCACTTAACATTTAATAAGGTTTCCCAGAACTCCTTAATACAAAGTAGGGAAAATGATAAACATAAAAATGAAACAGCAACATCTGATGCTTTCCTTTTTGGCAAGATCAATAAGAGCATTCAATATCTCCTGGTTCCTCTTTATTTTCTTTAGTAATTCTGAAATGCATTTCATCTTGTTAAATATCCTTTGCAGAAAATCCAATTAAAGTGGACAAAAGAACAGTATTGGGTTTAGATCTGATTATCCATATGTGTATATTTCTCTAACTTTAGAAGGATTTGGATGCAGTTTGCACAGAAAGGAAGCGCAGTGAATCTCTGATTCATAGCAAAATGGATAGATAATTTCCTATGCATTCATCTGCTTCCTGACATACTCCTTGAAAAAATTCTTTGACTACATAAAGTAACTCTGTAATTTGTGTTTAAGGAAAGTTGCTGCACAAATACGCTTGAAAAATGTTCATTTCCTTAGGGATTCTTTTCAGAAGACAACATATCTCAGATCTTCTGAAACACATTCACAAAATCACACTATTAATTTTCCTGTAGCTATCTTTAAATTGAACTTCTTTGGTTAGGTGAATATGAAGAACTAAGTCGTGGTTACTGTTTCTGACAGCAGTGCTTCAATCTGAGTTATATGAATGTGTGTCCCTTCGCTTCGCTCCCCTCCCCATTAAATATTTGAGGGGTTGCCCCCTTCAAAGTTGATGTGCATTGCCATTCCAATGGTGTGTGTACACTGCATCATGTGATTATGTGGGGTGGGGTTTACCTGCCCCCCCTGTCAATTATACTAATGGTCTGAATGCAGTATTATATGATGGGAAAGGCAGGTTTTCAAGGGCCACTGGATCTGTACCTAGACTTCAATGACACTAGCATTTCACCCAAAGTCTTGGGGATAAGTGTCCAAATCATGTACTCAAAATTATAAAATACACAGAGAGAGGCAACTCATGTTTGCCATTGTTTTCCTTCAGCTCATTTTCTAATATCCTCTCTAGATCTTCTTGGAGGAAAGGCGCAATACAAAAAAGTACTAATTAATATAACAACTGCATTCTTTAGGAACGTGGTAACCACACAACTTCAGTAACTTATTAACCTAGCCTTGGAGCACCATCAAGTTCTTTCTTCTCCTGCCTAACAACCATTGAAGGCAAAAGACATTGGAGGTTCTTTAATTCAACACTTGCATGTGGTCAGTCAGAGCCAACATTTAAGTAGACTGCAGCACAGGAAGACTGTAAGAAGATACCAATTAATTAATTTTCAGCTGCCATCCTATACCCCTCACCTGGAATTAAGCCCCATTGAACTCATTGGGGCATACTTCTCAGTAAACCTGCATATAGGATTACACTGATTAACATCCATGATTCTTCTCCTGAGTGCTTTTTTTCTAGAAAAAGAGGTGCCAGAACTCACCATGAACGCCTCCTTTGTTCTCTTATAATGGCAATGGCACCCACTTGAGAGGTGGTAGAACTGAGTTCTGGCTGAAAAAGGCCCTGCTTCTCCTATTCACTAAGATAACAATAATAATCATAATAATCTGGCAAAGACAAAGCAAACAAGCAAAGAGGCATAATTTTAAAATATACGCCATAATTTGCCCAAAGGGGATCGTCCAATATTTATATTAATACGTTACCAACATTGAAATTTCACTATTGTTGCTTTGATAACTTTAAAAAGACTGATTACTCTGAGGTTCTGGCTGCCAGTTTCCTCAGGCTCATAAAACAAGCAGGTTTTCTTCTGCTGTGTTACTGACAGGGGGAAAAAAATACCTAGTTACATTTCATGTGTCACATTTCAAATGGCTGCGACACCTTTATTCCTGTCCAAGGGATATTTGCCATCTGTTGCTGGTACAGAAGTATCTGAGCAAGGAAGCAGAAAAACAGCGCACAGAACACTGGAGGGGAAGAGAAAGCAACTCACAATGGCAGAGCAAACATTAATCACAAAAATTGGGATGTTAATCATATGGCAGGCATCAAGATTTACTACACGCGGTTCCTTTCCCTCAAACAAGGCTGCTGAAAATTGGCTACATGAAAATTAAATTGCACTATTACATTGTTATTTTCAATAAACAGGCACAACTATCACACATTTATAATTAATATAATCAGCCGCTACCTGGAGGGTGTGCATTGGATGATCATATCTCAGTTTAATAAATCAAGATAGGAACAAGAGTTTTGTCCAGCTACTCAGACTCTTCATGGCATGAGCAGTCGAACCATATGATTAGCCATAGATCCCCGTATTATTCAAAATTGGGAACTTCAGTTACCAGCCATGAAGCAAGTCAGGATATTGAATCAACTTCAAACCATTGTTTTAATTACCTGGGCTTTTTCCAAAGCAGATAACCATAGTTTCCCAGTTTGAATGATATGAGACTCTACGGTTAATAACAAATATCCTTGGTTGACAGCTCATGCTGATTGAATGGGTGTAAATTAAGACAAAATTGGAAACTATAATTAGAATCTTCCTGGTTTGGTTGCTTATCCATGAAGGGAAGAGCAAAGGACCTGCATATGCTATGCAGGCAGAAGGCTCATTCATACCTCAGTTTCATAAATTAAGATAGGATTATCAGAACATGGCCTTCATAAAATGTGCCCATTTTCTAATCGTTTGGTGATTACAGAACCTGTGGTCTGGTTTGCAAAACTTGGCTTAATAAGCATTCTCAGGCTCCAGAGGGAAACTTTCAGCTGCTTTGCTCCTCTCTTGCCTTTCCTACTGTTGTGCTGCATGGAGCTAAGCCAACACTTGGCTTATGTGTTGTCCAACCATGACTCATGGCTATATGCTTTTCTCACAAATCACAAGTTGGAGCCCTGAGTCCTTGTCCTTTTTGCATGGTCTCACTAAGCCTAGGTATGGCCCAGCCTCCCATCAGGCCAGCTTTGCTAAGTAGCACATGTTGCACTTCAAACAGGCTGTAAGAAGAGGAATTAAATTCACTTGATGGGACAAGTGATTTTAGTTGCTGAATCATTTGATACATATTGTGTATCTGTGCCTAAATTAGTTATAATGATTTTTTTCCCTTTCCTTTTCTTACCTTGCCCTTTTTGTACTCATGACCTATTATCTGACCACTCAAATTCACAGACACACCTTGTAACACAGATCTTAGGATCCAGGTTCATACCAATGATATCTCAAGTGCCTTTAGTTATTTAGGCACCACAAAATTCCCATTGTATCCTAACACAACTGGGGTTCCTTGGAAAATGCTGTCCCTGAAAGCCTTGGACCTTTGTTGTTGAGCATCTAGATATCAGCAAACATGAAGCTATGTGCTTGCATTTATTAATGCTGCTCCTTAATTGGAACAAAATGTTGGCTAAAGCCATAACCCTCAAAGTCTGCACTTGGCTTAGGGGCTTCCCAGATAAACGTATTTTCCACACAGATTTGTTCCAAATACCTTGCCTACACTTGCCATTAGCCCTCCTGCTGCAAGCCCTCTTTTTCTTTCCGCCTTCTGATCTCCCTCTTGTTCCTAAATGCTGCAAGTTTTGTACCTGAAAAGACAAACTTGAGTTTGTTATTCTTCCTCCACATCATGTTGCTTGCATTTATTGGTTGGCCAGATGGACAATGACACTCATTTGGTGTGTCCAGTACCTTCTACTACATATCTGTGCATTTACAAATGGAACATTTCTGCTAATGCACCCAAGGATTATAAACCACTCCACACATAAACATGATCAAGCCAAGCATCACCCTCTCAAGCACAGGGAAGAAAATCAGCTTTGTAGACACAGCAACCATATACCCAAAGCATCCCAAGACTTGAGACTTTGATGCAGCAAACTACATTGGTCTTATAGCACACAAAAGTGTAAATGTATATCTCACTCTGAAAGACCACAGATACTCATATGGAGCACAGGCAATCTCAGTACAGATTAAGATAGACATCGCAGAAAGAACTGGAGTAGCTCTGGTCAACTGAAGTGTTTCATTAAATAGAAAGGCTGCCTGTTTCTGAGAAGGTACGGATGCCTGAAATCCTTTCTTTGTTTTTGATCCCTAAATAATTGATAGTTTTAAGCTAAGAATCAAGATATCACCTTGTAAACAAGGAAACAGAAATGAACAAAAGGAAATATAAATCAATGACTGTCAGAAATACTGCTGAGAACCAGGGGAGGGAAAATTTAGCACAATTCTTCCTGTTTCCATCATTACTGTAGAATTCTAGATGAAAATAAGAGTTTCTCACTATACGAAGCAGAACTGGTAGACAGTGGCGTAGCGTGGGGGGTGCAGGGGGGCCCGGCCGCACCGGGCGCAACATCTGGGGTTAGGGCAAATCCACAGGTTAGGGGGCGCAAATCCACGGGTTAGGGGGCGCAAATTACTTGCCTTGCCCCGGGTGCTGACAACCCACGCTACGCCACTGCTGGTAGAGCATTTAACTCAGGGGTAAGGAACTGAGATGTTGTTGGGCTCCAGCTTCCAGCATCCTCATCCAGCATAGTCAATGATCAGGGGTTTGCAGTCCAGCAACATCTGGATGGCCAAACATTCTCCACCCTGATTTACATGGATGTACCATGCAAAGTATGTGGATGATAATATAGAATGCATTTAAACGTAAGAACCTAGAAGGATCAGGCTGCTGGATCAGGCCAAAGGCCTATCTAGCCCTGCATTCTGTTCTCCATAAGCAGAACATGAGCAAAATAGCACTCATATGCAGAGTACAGAACAATTGTGTAAAGCTACTGTGGAGGGAGTATTGGCTTTGAAATCAGAATCTGGAAATATTTACAATTTTAAAAATAAAGCAACTTTGCCTTCCATAATGAACTAGCATAATCTGAACAGATTTATTTTTAATAACTAATTACAGATTATTGGTATTTGTTTGAATGCCCAGTGCAAGTAGATTACAATGGACTTGTCTGTGCAGCTTTAATACAAGTCTTGCATGTTAGACTTTCATCAGGTACCTTAGCATTTTCGTTCAACATATTCATGAAAACATTCTCCCATGTGGTCCTCTTGAGAAAGACATCATTCTTTCTTTCCCTTTTTAATGTAAGAAGTGCAACCAATGTTAACAGATTTAACAACTCGACACTTGTTAAACTACTGAGTCTAATTGATTACAAACTTCTGAATGTAAAAAATAACAATGAATGGCCTATTCGTGAAGCTGAACTTTGCCTTTCTTTTCCAGTCAATTGCGGATTAAGAGAGCAATTCTATCGCAAGATCTACTGGGATGGACAGGTTAGGTAAGTGGATCTCCAGCTGAGCTAGTCAGGCTATGCCAGCTTAAACCCCCAACCTCAGCTCCACCAGATGTATACTGGTGTATCTCCCCCATTTCAGCTAGCCTGGCAAACCTTAAACCAGCATAAGAAAACAGGTGTTCTGGGAGGTGGGACCAGAGTGGGAGGACTTAGGCTGGATCCTAAGTCCATTCAGCTCAGTCATGTTACCTGGCAAAGAACACTCTTTTAAAGGCTTGCTTCCCCTCTGCCAAGCCTAAGCCTCATCATTCAGAAGTAGCTCCACTGCTGAGCAGAGTTTGGACTGGGCGTAACTTTACACCATCTTGACTTACACTTGTGTACAGGATTACTTCATTCGGGTGCATCCGAATGGTTGAGCACTTCTGAGTACCATCAGAATTCTGACACACAAGCGTGTCATTGCCTTCTCTGGACCTCTATGAATCCACATGGGGATGATAAAATTTGCTGCAGTTCTCAAAGTTAATTGTATGGCAATTCTTATGCTGGTTTGGTAATCAGAAGGAAACTTTTTTTTTTTTAAGTACAGAAATTGGTGTAACAAATTTAAAAATTCAATTTATACTGTATTTGGGAAGTGTTAATTTATTGTCAGAATATTACATGTAGGCTGCTAAAACAAAACAAATTTAAATATTGGTTCCCCCGCCCCAGCTTACTTTGACAAAGAAATATGGATACATTCTAATACAGAAATTATTTAATTGAGGACTTGTCCATGGGTTAACTAAGAAGGCAAACCCCACACTACCTTTCTCTCTCATTTCCCTGCTTCTGCTTTAAAATGTTTCAGACCTCATTCATTGGTATGAAAGACCTATGGGCTCATGCCTGGATAATATTTAATCTCATAGTGCTCAAATGAGACAATGCAGCTGTCCAGATAGATTCTCTTTAGCCCATCCTAGCTTCAAAATGGCACTCCTATCCATGAACTTTAGAATGTCTATGGTCTTAAACTCTGGCAGCTAGGTAGCAGGAAAGAACTTCCTTCCTTCCTTCCTATATTACAGCTCAGTGGTTAAGCACCTGATTTGCATGCAGCATGTCCCAGCTTCAATGCCAGGCACCTCCAGTTAAAAAGGATTTGCTAGCAAGTGACGGTTTCTGCCTGAAACCCCAGAGAGCCATTGCCAGTCAGATTAGACATACTCAAAGACAGATGTACAAATAGTCTGACCTAATCAGAGGCAGCTTCCGGCACTCCCTTTGCTCAGAACTTATTCCTGGAGAAAATAAAATAGCAGCAGAAGCTTTGCTCCACCAAACCCCACAGACTGCTCTAACCTCTGTTAACACATTGATGCTTTCTTGTCACAGGGTGATGAGATGGCATTCCTCCAAAACTCAGGTTGAGATAAAAAAGCAAAAGCAAACACAAAAACCTTTAGGGGGGGGGGATATAAAATTAGAAATTGGAAACTGAAAAACAACGTTCTTTGCTTCTGCATCAAAATGCATTGGCTTCTATATGTCTAAAATATGCACAGCATCAAGTAATGCAGTGTTCCACAATCATGTAGCTGCAAAGACAGAGAAAATTAGGGGGGGGGATTATACATCAAACCACACAGACATGCCAATGCCTTTTCAACATTTAGAATACAGTGGTTGAGGGGAGGGAACCAAAACTACCCTATACTATAAACTGCATTTCCTCCAAAACTCTACTAGTTGTTTTTGCTTTAAAGTTCTGTGTTTCATTATCTTGCACTTTCCAAACATGCCTTTCCTTCAACCACAAAAATGAAACCAGTCTGGGGTTCAGATGAGAGACCTTTCAGCTGTAGCCTTGTTTGTTTGGTGCCCAATATATTTTGGTAGAAAACAGAACATACCAGTTCTAGCTGCAGAAATAAAATCAGGGTCTGTCTTTCTAATATGTGCTAGGGAAAATTCCCCTAGGCTACATATGTTTAGATCCATACACACAGCACTTGTGTAAATCTCAGCCAAGCCCAGCTATTGTATAATGCTGCCATAAGGTATGTCAACAAAGTAATGATTTACAGTGCAGAGAATAGATTTTCTGTGTAAATCAGAAGCAAAGGTCTTAACCCAAGTAACACTCCAGTCAAACCTATATTTTGCATGATTTTGGTTCATCTGTGTGATAGAGGGAAAAGTCATCACATGCAAAGGTATCAGCTTATAGGATTTTACAGTTGAGTATGAGTAGGTGGATTGGATAAGGATTTTCCCCTTGCCGAGTTTGAACATTAGCAGTGAAATTGATTATCCATTCCTGTGTGTGTTTGGGTGTATGTCACACTCACACCCACACACCCAATTTAAAGTACTCTGAATCCCTCTTGCAGAAGGCAATTAATTAAAACAGAACAGTGGAAATGAGAGCAAATTAATGTTGCCCTAATGAGTAGCACCTACATTTTTCCTTCTGAACATAGGATTCTTAACCAAAGTCGAACCAAACCCAGAAAGGGGGTATGTCTACTTGGACTTGAATTCACTTAAATAGAAAAAGAAAAAGAAAAGCTGAACTGTATCCTTTATGGTCTGGCAAACAGGACTTTTGCATATTCTTATTTATCTTATTAGAAGATACTGGAGTTTCCTGGAAAGGGAGAAGTGGTAAGGAACATATGGCATCAGGTTGGTGTTATCACAGGTGTGACATAAACAGTTGTACCCTGTGCTTTTACCAGGTGCCATTACCCATATACTAGGAAAGGAATAACTATCTGGAGCAGTTTGATACAACTACATCAAATTCAGGCAATGCAGTTCTATCATCTGAAGTCAATAGAGTTAAATCCTGCCAATTAACTCATAGATCCAAGATGGGGTTGACGCAGTAGGATTGACTCAGAAATACACAGTATTGGTGTATACAAAAGGAGCACTAAAACTAAGGGTTTCTAGTAGGGTAGTGTTGAATCATCCCACTCCAGCTGATCTTGCCTGGTTGCAATTTGTTTGTCTCCTTTATTTCCAATAGCTGCTTCTTCCTCTTCCTCCTCCTCCTCTTCCTCTTCACTTTCATCTGATTCAGCACTGGTTGTATCTTCCTCTTCCTCTTCCTCTTCTTCGCTTTCTTCTTGTATATGACGAGGTTCTTCATATTTCTGTATTGTGCAGGAACACAGGGAAGAGCTGCTAGTAAGAGATTAGTTGTACTACAAAGGCTAAAAAGGTAATGGGGGGGAAGAAGTTTCCTGATTTTAAAAGTGAGATGAAGTACTAAGAAGCTGGGATTCTGCCTTCAGATGCTACAATACACATCCATAATCTGACAGCTGCTATTACCCTAATGGGGCTGTGCTGGACTGCATGGGAGACTTATCTATCATGTGATAAGTGAAACTGATGTTCATTGCAAGAGGGGGCAAGCTAAAGGATAGAGCTAGAAAACAAAGGTAATTGAGGTGTCAGTCAATCACATATGACCTGAAGTCTTCTCTAAAATAGCAAACTCAGCTTAAAATACCGCATTTTGCGCCCCATAGGACGCACTGGCCCATAAGGCACACCTAGTTTTTTGGGGGGGAAATAAAGAAAAATATTTTTATTTCCCCCCCAGGCGCAGGGCTGGGGCGGGGGAAGCCCGAGCTTCTCCGACCCCAGCCCCCAGAACAGGCTGCTCTGTGGAAGCCATGGTAGCCCTCCCGCGGCTTGCGCAGAGCTACCCGAAGCCCCGGCGCAACTGCTGAGCACGCCGGGGTTTCGGGATAAGAGGCAGCTCCGCGCAAGCCGCGGGAGCCCTCCCCCGGCTTGCGCGCAGCTACCCGAAGCCCCGGCGCGACTGCTGAGCACATCGGGGCTTCGGGATAAGAGCCAGCTCCGCGCAAGCCGGGGGAGGGCTCCCGCAGCTTGCGCAGAGCTTCCTGAAGCCTGGAGAGGGAGAGGGGTCGGTGCGCACCAACCCCTCTCGCTCTCCAGGCTTCAGCGAAAGCCTGCCTTCGCCCCATAGGATGCACACACATTTCCCCTTCATTTTTGGAGGGGGAAAAGTGCGTCCTATAGGGCGGAAAATATGGTAATTATTTATAGAAAGCAATTCTACTGAATAATATCCACCAGTGGCTGACTGACAGAGAGCTCCAAATAATTAATGTCCTTCCCACCCCCAATATACTAGGTCTTGATTGAACTCTGAAAAAAATGAGTTCTGTGTGTGTTATATGCTCCTCCAGGATGATCAAACAAGGTTCCTTTCAGTGATGTGAATGAAAAAAGAGCTGCATATTGACAAAAGTCAAGACAATTTTAGACCAAACCATCATCCTCTTCAGTTTATTAGTCTTCAGTAGTGTAACAGCTGCCATGGTTTATTCCCTCCCATGATCACTACTATTAGATTGCAAGGATCATGTGGAAGAAGCCCATGCCGTGGCTCCAGTTCTAAGATTTTGCTGGTGTTAGGATGGAGCTGCAGAATGGGTTCATCCCATATGACTCCAGTATTATTAAGCTGAATTGCTGCATCTTTCATACAATTAAAACTGGAAGGGGCACACTGAGGCAGCTACACTGCTGAAAATAATATTGCAGGCATAGGCAAACTCGCAGGACAGGTCCGGGAACAGAGGGGAAGGCGTGCAGCGCTTCTCCTCTGTTCACGGACCTGTTTTGAAGACTTGCGGAGGGAGGAAGGTTTTCCTCCCCACCGCCAACATTCAGAAGGCTGTTCTGAAGGCTGGCGGTGGGAAGAAAAGCCCTTCTCCCCCGCCAGCCTTCAGAAGAGTTCCCGGAGGGCTGCCTAGGCTGCGGATAGCAGCATGCTGCCCCGCGCAAGGGGCGCTCTTAAGCAGAGCGCCCCTCGCGCGGGGCAGACATTCGCAGCTTGGGGAGCCCTGCAGGACTTCCCCGCAGGGCTCTCCAAGCTGCAGATAGCAGCCTGCTGCCCCTATCCGCAGCTTGCAGAGCCCTGCGGGGAAGACCTGCAGGGCTCCCCAAGCTGCGAATGTCTGCCCCACGCGAGGGGCAGCAGGCTGCTATCCGCAGCTTGGAGAGCCCTGCGGGGAAGTCCTGCAGGGCTCCCCAAGCTGTGAATGTCTGCCCCGCGCGAGGGGCAGCAGGCTGCTATCCGCAGCTTGGAGAGCCCTGCGGGGAAGTCCTGCAGGGCTCCCCAAGCTGTGAATGTCTGCCCCGCGCGAGGGGCGCTCTGCTAAAGAGCGCCCCTCGTGCAGGGCAGCAGGCTGCTAGCCGCAGCTTGGAGAGCCCTGCGGGGAACTCCTGCAGGGCTCCCCAAGCTGCAGGTGTCTGCCCCGCGCGAGGGGCGCTCTGCTAAAGAGCGCCCCTCGTGCGGGGCAGCAGGCTGCTAGCTGCAGCTTGGAGAGCCCTGCGGGGAAGTCCTGCAGGGCTCCCCAAGCTGCAGATGTCTGCCTTGCACCGGGCAGCAGGCTGCTATCCTTCTCCCCCCGCCAGCCTTCAGAAGAGGTCTGGGGACAGACTGTCCCTGGACCTGGTCTGAAGGCGGTCTCCATAGGAACGCATTAATTGATTTTCAATGCATTCCTATGGGAAATCGTGCTTCGCAAGACGAAAAACTCGCAAGAAGAAAAAACTTGCGGAACGAATTAATTTCGTCTTGCGAGGCACCACTGTAGTCCCAAAACATCTGGAGGGCCAAGTTTGCCTATGCTTGTAATATTGGAAGCAGTTCTTAGGCATGCTTGCACCTCCTCTACAACTGGAGAGGATTAATCCTAAAGCTGAGTAGCAGACTGGAGAGAACCCTTCGTCATATATAATTCCATGATTTTTTCATTTTCAGTGTAGCAAATTATCAGTCCAAATAATCAATTAAATTATTTCCCCCCATCAAGGACTTCCCTCAGCTCCCCTCTCTAATTTCTTTGCACATATTGTTCTCTGCATGTTATAGAATTGTACATATCCTTGTCTTATGTATCATGTGTTCAACTAATAAATTTGTGGGTGTTTATTCAAAACCTGCCAAGGAGTCCAGATCATTTTGTTGTCTTGATTTTAGGGTTTTCAAAAGTTCCTCACCACTGATGCTGGGCAGAACATTGACATATCCACCACTCTGGTCTCTTGACCTCTACTTGTATGGCAGGAAGTCTAAAATGAGTGCCTAGGTGCAGTACAGCTGCACAAGACAATCTAAAACTGTGATTGTGCAGTTTCATACTTGTACATGTGTAGGTGCCTCTTTCATACCATTTGTGTATGGGTCATCATAAATAGATGGTATAGACTAGTTGTGTGGAACCTTTGGCCTTCCACATATTGTTGAACTACAGCTCCTATCATTCCTGACAACTGGGCACACTTGCTGGGCCTGATGAGAGTTGTGGTTTAGCAACATCTGGAGGCCCAAAGGTTCCCAACATCTGACATCATGGCATTGCTACTTACCTCCATAGGATTGACAGTGATGGTCAGAGCTGAATCATCCCAATCCATTTCATTTTCTTTACTGCTTTCACTCTCCTTTGAGCTGTGCTTATAAGCTGCTCGAATTCTATATACTCCCAAAGCTACTATGAAGATTAAGATACTGACACAGACGACTATGACAATAGTAGCCACACTTGGAAGTACTGAAATGAAACAAAAATGGGAAAATTAAACGTAGCTGTCCCATAGCATCTCTATAAAGATATATGTGCACATATTTTCATCAGATAGAAATACAACAATAACTAAATATTCATTATAGAATACTGTCATTTTAAAATGCTTACTGTGACCCTCCCCCTTGTTGCTGGCCATGGCAACAAGCAAAAACAATGGTCAATGCCACAGTCACACTTCCCTTTGTGTAGTTTCATGATACCAATTTGGTGAAAAATAATAGTTTTCATCTGTAAGGGAGGTTACAAATCTGAACTGCCTTTTGCGCATGGAACTTGCATATGGAACCTCCCATCATACTTACTAATATGATCCCCCCCCAAAAAAAACCCCACTTTTTTATATAGAAAAAAGGAAAGTCGTTCCACTAGTGCCTGTTGCTTATAGCTGAATGTGTAGACTATATGAAAGAAGTTGACCTTTGAATTAGAAGCTGAGGACAACAAACAAAGAAAGGCTATCACCTTCGCATCCACTCATAAGAGCCAAATGACGTTTGGCTGCTACCTGGAACCCAGTGCTTGACTAGATAGATTTTGGTCTGATCCAACAAGGCAATTCGTATGTTCTTAATACATTTAATACCTGAGCCATGAATACTGTTTATGCTTTCCTCTGGGTGATGAATAGATTGGAGAAACTGCGGCTGTATTACCATATGATTTACATATTCCATGGTATTGGAGTTGGAGCTATGTAGAATATTAACCTAGAAGAGGAAAAAGAGGATTGATGTTGCAGATGAGTAAGTGGGCAGTTCAATCACCTGCCTCTCTCTGTCTAAAACTCTGGTAGAAAAGTTAATCATTGAACAGATGTTTGAGCCGTTCCCTTCCTCTGAGAGAAGGCAGTTAATTCAAGGCTTGATGTGAAGAATCAGCCTCAAAATTTGCCCAAAAAGATGCATTAGGAGAAGAAAATGCTCATTTAGAGGGAAAGGTTGTGAAAAACCAGATTGTCGGCACTATGACATCAGTACTTTGGGGGTGGTGGGAATTTTGGGGAACATTTGCTATAGTCATAAGAAGAATGAGTCTGGACTGAATGGTTTGGCAGCATAAACATTTCAAAACAGTAAATAAGGCAGTGTACAGTGTCATGTCAATATCCTTGTCTATCTGAAGTGGAACAGTGGCATGAAGTGGTCCAGATGCTATTCAGCATCCTGTCACCCTGAAAGAATGACTGAAGTTTCACAGTCCAGCACAATCTTACACTGGTATAAATTTACAACAAGAGTTTTATAAAAAGGCTCTGCTATCCAGTGGGTGCAGGAGGCTTCTCTACAATCTTCCACACAGAGCAATATTTGATAATAGCATTCTATTTCCTGGTTGTTGTTTTTATGACCAACAAGAGAAGTCATAAGCTGGTCAGTATTTTAGACATTTGTGGACTCAAATAATATAGAATTATTTCCCTACATTGTCAGTTTCAATGACAACATTCAACATTCTCAGGTTTTAACAGTGAAATGCTATACATCAATTTGGGCACACTTAACATTATAGCCAGTCTATGGGAGCAGAACCCACAATGCGAGAACTGTTCTGAAAGTTCCTCCACCAATGGTAAGAGAAAGCTGGAGCACTCATACCTATGGAGAAGCTACTGACTGCCTTTCTCCATTCATTGTTTTCCCCACTCCCTTTTCTCTGTTATTATATTCATCAGTAGACTCTGATAAGGAGCAGGGATAACCATTCCCTAAGAGGAAAGATGAAGGACCAACAATAGGTGGAGAAAGCCAAGTAGCTCTTCCTCCACTTTGTGTGTGATTATTTATTAATTCAGCTTTCCTTCCCTATTTGTTTTAATGGTACAATTTAACTGTTTATTTTAATTATGGATATTTATGGCTTTTTAAAATATTTTTTATACTTTGTAAACTGCTTAGAAGCCTATTTTGGCATTAAGCAGTATATAGTCATAATCAATTTCTTTCCCTGCTGCTCCCAACGACAGTCAGTAAGCATTTTATGCTTGTTCAGCATCTTCGGTATTCAGTAAGCTGCTTTTAGACTCCTCTCCCTTAGCCCCCGAAATATCTGCTGAACTTCTGCAACCCTCAGGTTTCCCCCAAGCTTGCCTTCAACTACCTCTTGTGTTGATCTGCTGTTTTGGTTACAGGCACTCAAAATATGAGTTCACAAAATATGAGTTTCTAGCAAAGGAGGGCACTCTAGAAAGTTGTTTAGCTGGCTAAGATAGATAAAAGACTGCGATAGAAGGGTGATGGAGAAGTGGCCATGTGCCACCGTGAAATGGCAGGGCTGTTATATCAAAATAGGATGGCTCTGACTGTAATGAGCAATTGACAGTCACTTAGTGAAAGGAGATACAAAGTCCACAAGTAGAAACTCCTGACACAGTGATGGAAAATCCCTTTTCTCTACAAAGGAGAGGATGCTGTGAGTCCTTAGTGAGACTTATTGAAATGCTGTTTCACCCCACAAAAAAGATGAAAGGAGATCATGATGGGAATGCAATTTTAGTTCTATCTTCTAGTTGTTTTCTGTCCCTTCCATCTGCCTGCTCTCATCTTTGCCCAGTTTCACTTACACACTGCATAATGTCTCTGACAAGAGCTGCCACAGTCAGCAGCTGCTGCTCTTAGAGTGAGATGCTATCTACATGGCGTGTGTGAAGCTGAGAGCCAGAGAGGTGTGCAGAACAGCAGTTTAGTATGCACAAGACAAATTGTCGAGAGCCTTTGAATTTAGGAGAGAGATGGCTGAGGGAGAGCTAATTATAAACAGAATGGCACCCTGGCACGAGGAATTCTGCTCAACTGGATAACACAATATGTCATAAAATAACATTTCCAGATACTTCGCATGTGCCATGCATGTGCAGAAATAACTAAGGCTAAGCCTTCCAACTATGTGCCTCCTTAGGTGGGACCCCCACATACATCGTGTCTAGTAACTAAAACAGGGTACAGAGTGGGTTCCATCCAGGAAAGAATGATCACAGGCATCATAGATGCTTTTAGGTCCTCATTTCTGTGGAGTTTGGAACTGGCAGGGTTAAAACTCCGTGGTGCCCTGTATCTGGGAGGAGCTCTGGGAGGAGCTTGATGCAGGGAAATGCGTCACAGTGTGTGTCTGTGTTCAGTTCTACTTTCACTTCTGACTGAGACAGACACAGCTCAGCTCAGAGGAGCTGTGAGGGTGCTTTTGGAAGCACGGAGAATGGCTGAAGTTTCCGATGGATGTTAATGGATTTATTGCCTTGTAAATAAACGCTTCTAAAGATAAGAACCGATCTGCCTATGGACTTGATTTATCCCTTTCTCACATGGACTCAGGACCGCTGCATTACTCTGCTAGGCCAGCTCAGAGCTTCCAGGGATACGGAGCTGAACTGGGAAGCTTGCTGGACCCAATATTCCGGACGGGGAATTTATTTTCACCCCCAGAGGTTATGGATCTTACGTGTTTCCTGACATGTGTGAGAAGGGAGGAAAACTGCCAGCTTTGAGTTGCTGTGATCTCCTGCCAGGAAGGGCAGTGGGAGATGCTGGTGATCGGAGCCAAGAGCCAAGATAGACGGCTGCTTCGGAGGACCAGCTTGCTGGCAGAGTGAGTACGCTTGAAGCCCCGGGGGGAGGAGATGGCTGCTGCTCAGGCACAGGGCCATGAGAGCTTCAATATCCCCTTTGAAAGGCTGCATGGAGCCAATTGGGAAGCCTGGAGTACACGCATGTACTACTGGCTGGAAGAAAGGAAGCTTTGGGATTACACCCAAGCTGATCCAGTCCTTGCCCAGCCCAGTGAGAGGTCTGCAGGAGCAGTGGAAGCAGATGTGGCTGCTCTGAAGAGAGAGCAAAGGGTGCTAGCAATCCTGAGGGCCAGCGTTGATACTTGGCTGTTGCCAAGGCTGCAAGGGAGTAAGCCCTGGGTCGCGTGGCAGGCACTGAAGATGGCATGTCAAGCCTCAGTGGGAGCCAGGCCAGAGGGGGCTGAGAGTTGCCCAGAGAAAGCATCAAGCCCAGAGGGGGCTGGAGCAGTGTTGGAAAGCTGCTTTTATGCTTCAACACATCTGTGTGATGGACTGTGTGCTGGAGAGAGGCTGAGAGCTGGCAAGAGGAAGGCAGTTGCAAGCTGTTCCTCAGGCAGACAGGCACCCAACAGTGGGGGTGCAGGCCATGCAAGCCGATGCAAGAGCTCTGAGAAAGCGAAAGTCTCCAAGAGTTGTTTGTGCTCTGAGGCGACGTCCAACAGCGCTGGGAAGCATCCGCTGGAAGCCCAGGCTGTCAAGGACACCAGCTGGAGTGGAATGTCAACAAAGCAGGTTCCCAGAGCTAGACGTGGGAAAGCTGCAGGCCAGGAGAAAAACAAAGACAAGGCGTCTTATCACCTCACAGCTGCGACAGTGTGCCTGGGAAAAGGCAAAAGCCTTGATCGGGGGGAGGCTGTGTGCATGGCAACCAGACAGAACACTGACTTTGACTCTTGCAGAGGCCCCGGTGGGGGTGCGAGCGTTGCCATGGCAGCTTTGGAAGACAGCCAGAGAGACACTGTATCTCTAATTATAGACACGGGAGCGACTCACTGTCTTGTGCCATCTGCTGGGCTCCTGAGGAACTGCAAGACAGTTAAAACTGGACGTTATGTCAAAATGGCAGATGGAGTTAAAAGACCACTGACTAAATCTGGGTCTTTATATTGTTCTTTTCTAGATTGTTGGGTGCAAGCTTATGTTGTCCCAGAGCTTGCGCACTCTCTTTTAAGTGTAACAGCCTTAAATGATGAAGGGTTCGATGTTCGGTTCTCTAACAAATTATGCTCTTTTTACAGGGATGGAAAGAAGGTCTACAGCGTTGAGAGAACAGACAGGCTCTTTCTGGTGCAGATGCCTGTTGGAAATGGGGCTGGTGGAGAAGTGGGACTAGTGGAAAATGGGACTGGTGGAAAAATGGGGCTGGTGGAAAATGGGGCTAGTGGAGAGTCCATTGAAGACGCACAAGTGCAGTGTGCTAATGTCCCACCACACAATGATTGTATTCATCTGTGGCACCGAAAATTTTGTCACGATGGGTGGTCGTCTGTGCGAAAAGCCGCAGAGAACACCATTGGTTGTGGGTTCAAGGCATGTGACAGATACCTTGATTGTCAAGCCTGTAAGCAATCTAAGGTCACAACATGCTCATACCCCAGGTCAGAGAGGCGAACCAGCAAACCCTTTGAACTTGTGCATGCAGATTTGTCAGGACCCATGCCAACACCTTCTTTAGCTGGGTCGAAATGGGTTTTGGTTCTGATTGACGATTTTTCGAGGTTTTCTTGGGTTTTTGCGCTTCAATGTAAGTCAGAAGCAGCTGCACTGATCAGAGATTGGATCACAGCGATAGAGCTGCAGTTCTCTACCAGGGTGATTTCCTTTCAATCTGATCGCGGGGGTGAGTTCACAGGTTCTGCGCTGCAATCGTTTTTCAGGCAGAAGGGTATCAGTCATCGATTGACTGCCCCCTACAGTCCGCAACAGAATGGGATTGCAGAGAGGAAGTTTCGCACACTACAGGAATCAGCAAACGCAATGTTGGCAGATTCGGGGTTGCCACAGCGTTTTTGGGCTGAGAGTTATCGGACAGCATGTTTTGTGCAGAATAGGGTGTACAATTCCAGTGTAGGCAACACACCGTATTTTTTGTTGCATCAGAAGAAGCCGAAGGTGGGGTTTTTTCATGTTTTTGGGTCTCC